GTACTTCAGGAAAACCTGGAAAGACTTGTATGGACTGATGCTGAGTGAAGTGAGCAGAATCAGGAAAACTTTGTACACAGTTACAGCCATGTTGTGGAATGACTAACTTTGATAGACTTAGTCCTTCTCAGTAACGCAAAAATCTAAGACGTCTCCAAAAGTCTCATGATGAAAAACGCTATCCGCATCCAAAGAAAGAACTATGGAATTTGAATGCAGATCAAAGCATACTGTTTGCTCTTTTTTTTTTCTTCTGTTTTGTTTTGTTTCCTCTTTCTGGTGGTTCCTCCTATTGATTCTAATTCTTCTTTACAACATGATTAATGTGAAAATATGTTTAATATCAGTGTATATGTAGAGCATGTATCAGATTGCACACCATCTTAAGGACGGAGGAGGGGAGGTAAGGGGAGAAAAATTTAAAACTCAAAAGCATATGGAAGTGATTGTTAAAAACTAAAAGTAAATTAATTTTTAAAAAAGAAATGAACATGATACTCTCAGAAAAACCTGAAAAGACTTACATGGGCACATGCGAAGTGAAATGTACTGTATACAAAGTAACAGCAATATTGTGAGATGATCACCTGTGAATGACTTAGTACAGCAATCCAAGACAACTGTGAAGGACTTACAATGAAAAATGTTCTTTATCCATCCCTAAAGAGGGTAATGGTGGTGTCTGAATACAGATTGAAGCATACTTTTCTTTTCTTTATTTATTTTTCTTGAGGGGTTTTTTTTTGGTCTATGTTTTCTTTCACAACATTAGTATTATGGGTATGTTTTGCATGGCTGCACATTTCTAGCCTCTGTGGAGTTGCTTGCCTTCTCAGTGCGGGGGGGAGGGGGGGATTTGGAACTCAGAGTTTTAAAAATGAATGTTGGAAATTGTTTTTACATGTAAGTGGGGAAAATAAAATACTAAACAAGAAAAAAAGAAAATTTAAAAAAACAAAAAGGAAGATTATCTTGACAATAGGTTATATCTTAGCAGGGCTTACTCTCCTTCAAGAATTCTATGGTTTAACCAAACTGGCCTTCTTGGTGCTCCTTAACTGCTGTCCCAGAATGCAATCCTTCCCCACTTGCACTTCTCAAAATACCTAATTTCCTTCAAAATTCAGCTCAAGGGCCACCTTCAACACGAAACCTTTCTTTATCCTGCCAGGTTCTAGTTCCCAGCCACCACTGCCCCCACTCCTCACCAGGGGGAAAGAGACAGAGAGAGAGAGAGAGAGAAAGAGAGAGAGAGAGAGAGATTACCTTGTATTTCTTTTGTATTCTGTGTACGTGTATGTGTTGTCTCCCCTTATAAGATGTAAATTCTTTGAAGGCAAGAGCTGTTTCATTCATTTTTATCTTTGTAATTCCAATACCTTGGGTTCCCAAACACTCAAGTATAGGGTCAGAGAGGCATAGCTGGACAGCAGTTCATTTAAAAATACCTGTGGGACTGCAAGCTTACTATGAGTTAACAGTTTGATGTGGCAGCCAAAAAAGCAAAGCTGACCGTAGAGCGTATTGATACAAGCACACTGTCTAAAGCAGTGGAGATGGCGGTTGTGTTATCTTCTGCTTTGATCAGACCTACCAGCAGTATCATGTCCAATTCTGGGTGACACATTTTAGCAGGAACCGTTGGTAAACTAAGGTATGTCTAGAAGAGGTAGAAAAGACTTGGATTTTGGCAAATGGGAATTGATTGAAAGAACTAGAGATGTTTAGCTTGAAGAAGAGAAGATTTGGTAGGGTCCAGGGACAGAATAGTTCATTATAGCTGTCTTCACATATTGGAGAGACTGTTATACACAAGAAGAGTCAGACTTATTCTGCTGGGCCCCAGAGAAAATGGGTGGGAGAAATAGAGGCTGCAAGGAAGCAGATTTCATTCACCTTAATATAGAGAAGAGCTATCCAGTGATGGAAGGAACTGCCTGATGAGTTATTGATTTCTCTGTCACTGGAGGTCTTTAAGAAGAGGTTAGTCATACAAACTGTCAGGAGTGTCATAGACCCCCCCCCCCACTTCCACATACTCTAAGGGAAGAAGAACTCAAGGGTCATATTTGGAGGAACAGTCTTAATCTGTTAGTCCACTTTTTGTAGTATTGCTTCTAACACAAACAGTTGGAATGAACTGAGCTGTTGGCATTGAGACCAGTGCTGGCAGCATCCCAGAGTAGCTGTGTAACACTTTTAATACCTTTTTCAGAATCCATCACTGAGAACAGCCCCAGAGACAGAGCTATTATACCAAGGCTTGGGGCTATGTCACTGGGCTGATGTGCTTAAGCGCGTAAATGCTGTTGTATTTTTACCCCATTAAGTACTCTCTTGTCAGGTTTAAAGGCCTCGCAGAGAGCTTGTCTCCTCTCTGACTTCCTGGTTTCCGTGTGGATTTGCTGCCTCCCTGTGTCGATTTAACACGACAGCAGTGTTTTCATCCTGGAAGTAATAGTGATTCTGTTTAGTTTAATGTTGCATTATTTTTAAAGCTGATCTTGCAGTCACATTCCTGATCTTCAGTAATTAGTGATGTTCTTACAGGATGTGAGTGTGAATTAAATGCCACCTCCCTGCCCGGACATCCCTTCACTTCTTCATCGGCATAGTCTTTCAACCTTCCAAGCTGAGCAGCATTTTCAGGACCTCAAGCTCTTATTTTATATCCATCTGTTGCAGTTGCAGCTTTTACCCATTATTATCCTAGTTTTAACAAAGAAGATGTTAAAAAAGCAAGTAGACTAGATCCTCACTTAACAACCAGCTTCCTATTTTTCCTTTTGATGCATCGTAAAATCCACAGAATATTAATCTCAACTGACAGAAAGCACCTTAAGGTTTGCAAAGTACTTCCCATATCTTATTTCATTTGATCCTTACAACAGCCTTGTGTAGTAGGTATTCCAGGTATTATCCCCATTTTACAAGTGAGGAAATTGAGGCTCCGAGACACTGAATGACTTTGGCCCTGATAGTATAGCCAGGAAGTGTCAAAGGACACATTTGAACCCAGGTCTCTCCTGACTCCAGGTCCATCCCTTTTTCCACCATACTACACTGCCTTTCTACTCCTATGGTAACAGATCAGGAAATGACTAGAATTTAAAGTGTCAGAGCTTGAAGGGGCCTTAGAAATCTATCATTTTTTAGAGAAACAGGTACAAGGAGGGAAGGTATAGACTTGGACAAGTCATCTAACCCTCAGGGCCCAGATGTATGTCTGTTCTGTCTCCAGGTTCACTAGGCAAATGTAACATATAAAAAGAAGTTTAGGAAGTCTGTTGGTTTAAATTTAGAGAAAGAGTGAAAGATCACATTAGTATGATGGAAAAATAATTGGTAAAATGAGAAAATCAAGGGATCACAATATCACACAATTGCAAAGGACCCTAGAAATCTTCTAGTCCCTGAGCAAGCAACCCTCTCCATGACTTACATAACACTTGGCTGACCATATCCTGCTTGACATTTTCCAGTATTGAGTAAATTCACTGGCTCCTGGGTTAGCCGAGTCTACTCTCAGGCAGCTCTGGTGCTTAAAAATTTTTCTCACATTCAGCTAATATCTGCCTCTTCAACTTGCACCTGCTGCTTTTAGTTCTGCATAACATTTAGAGCTAGAAAGAACCTCAGAGATTACATCCCATTTTACTGACAGGGAACCTGAGGCCAGTGAGGGTACTTGCCTTGCCGTGGGTAATAAGTAGCAGAACCAGAATTCAAACCCAAGTCCTAAAGAGAGAGATCATATGCCTCCTGTGTCATACAAGACATGGGCTTTTAGCAGAAGGCATAAGCCCATGCTTAGCATATAGATGTAATTAACAAGTAGCTGTTTTCCGTCCTGCTTGGGCTAATTTTTTCAGCAATTAGGGTATAGGGTGCTAATGAAGTCAATATACATAGACTTGATCCCCATCCGGGCAAGTAACTCTGGACAAAGAAAGTTTTTTTCAGGCTACAAGCCCCTCCCCCTCCTCATGCCACAAACTTATGCCACTTGACACAAGGAGAATTGGGTTAGAATTGTTCTGTGCAGAACCTGACTTCTCTCCAGAAAAACCAACATCCAGTGTACATTCGTATTGATAGGAAACTGAGTGTTATCTGGGAATTCAGTGAATCTGCCAATGTACTGTGCTGTCCTTTAAGAATAAATGACCATAATGCTAGCCTTCAAACTATTTGTTTTTTAAAAACACAAAAAAAATCGGGTTTACTTTTGCTTTAGAATAAGTTAGCTTCTTTAAATAGGGTCAGTTTTTCTTGCATCCTTCAGCAGAAGTGAAATTGTGCTTTGCTTTGGCCTTAACTGCCACGGTAGCTGTTAGAACCATCATGTGCTGTGGGTGCAGCTGAGAGATCAGAGCCGTGGTCAGAATTTTATGGTTTTATGGGTTTGAGAGAATTGTTGGCTCACAGCTTAAGAAAACTAAATGTGCATTTTACTTTGTAAACATTAATCTCTGTGTGATTTGTGCCCTTACTTTTTTCTGCATTTACTAAACCTTCAAAGTTGCCACTTCTTTCCATAATCACTCATCGTTGCTCTAAGAGGTGTTTTCTATTACTGTAATTTTTCATATTTACTGTTGACAGCATCCCTTACTTTACCATACTTTTCTCTAAATGTTTCTTCTTTCATCGACGTTATTACTGGCCATTCTGTTGAAAGTAGAACTGGGGAGTCAGTCCTTCTTCCCTGGAGAAGGCTGTGTTAGCTTGTGGTAAGACCAGGAATCTGCCCTTTCCAAATCTCTCCTAGCTTTGCCCTGCATGCTTCCTGACGCCTGAAGAAGCAGTGGAGCCATAAAGTAGCCCCATCTTCCTCAGGAAAATGGATGGAAGGGTGAAGATGCCCTTTGTAGGGGGTGTACTTGTGTGAAGCCCTGGCAGAGTCAGGGAGGGGCCGCACTAAATGGCTTACAAGCCTGTGATTCTAACGCTGCACTATTCTGCACCAGGTTAATAACCCGATGCTTTCTTTCCTCTAGTTGTTTCCTCTCTTTGCTGCTTGTGGCTGCTGTGGTTTGGAAAATCAAGCAAAGCTGTTGGGCTTCAAGGCGGAGAGAGGTAAGCCAGAGTCATCTAGCAGAAGATCACCCCTTAAAGGACAGTGGGACTTTTTTGTCGTTTGCTTTTATCTCTCCATGATAAATGATACACATATGACTTCATTAAAAAGACATCAGTATTTTCCTTCCCAACAACTTATGACCAAGAAGATTTTTATTTGAGCTACAAAGGAAAGTCTTGAGTATAGCCTGAAGAATGAGGTTTAAGTTATCCTCAAGTTGCCTCATTCCTGAGACAGCATCATGTGGTTTTTGTTTATTTTTTCCTAAGGAATCAGGAGAGGAGAGTGTTTATGCGTTTTCTCCTCATTCAAATCCAGATTTCTTCTGTTCCCTCTAATTAATGGCCTTGTCAAATTCCTCAATGTGGCACAGAGATGACCGGGTTTGCATGTGCTTTGCCAATATAATACAAGCTTTAGTGGAGCTTGTGGGCCAAGTTGAGAAGGCTTCATGTACTGGACTGGTAACTGTGGATCAGTTGTGTGAAAACCAGCCCAAGGCTGGCTACCAGGGCTGCCTGGATTTCTTTTTTCAGCCTCAGCAGTTCATACATAGAGTTAGTCCACAGGGGCACAGAGGAGCTATGTTCTTCATCAATGGAAGGAGATACATATTGATGAAATATATGAGCCCTGAACACCTGTGCTTCAGGAGAGTTCCTCAGAGCTATGGAGAAACGCAACGGGGAAATATCATTTACATCAGAGTATGATTTTTTGTTGGGCATAGACACAGTCACCATCACTAAGGAATAGAATGCTAGTGGACTTAGAATAAACCAGAATAAAAATTCACCAGAAAGTCAGTGAGTCCTTAATAAAATAGCACACAAGAGATTTGTTAAAGATTTTCAGGCTACTATTCATGGCTGGCCCTGAAGAATTTCTACATTGCCTTTCCAAGGACCCTGGCCTTTAGATGGGAACTTTATGTGCCTTGGACATTTGTTTTGCTTTATTATACTTATAAATGTTTTGACAATTAAAAAAATAAAATTTAATTAAAAATTAGTTTAAAAAGCAGTTATACCTCGATTGTAAAATGTAATCCTTTAACTATCATACATAGGGTTATTGCGAAGAAAACATACTGTAAACCTAAAATTTCTCTGTAGATGAATTGCTTCTTCTACCTCTCCCACCCTCCCTTCCACAATCCTTTTTCCTCTCCCCCTGCCCTCTTCCTTTCTCTTTTCCCTCCTTCCTCTTCCCCTTTCTTCTACCTTCCTCCTTCCCTCCCCCTTTCTTCTTTCTCCTTTCTTCTCTCTTTTTTCCCTCTATTGTTCCTTCCCTTCTCCTCCCCTCTTTTTGCCTCCTTCCTCTCTCCCTTCTCTTCTTCATCATCTTCCTCCTTTTTCCCTTCCTCATTTTATATATCTCCTTCTAACTCATCTGCAGCAGAACTTGGCAATAGGATATGTTTTCTGAATTCTGATCTCAATGAGAGGCTTTGAGTATAGTAGATGGAGAACTGGGCAAAGTCAGGAAGAGCTAGGTTCAATTATGCCTCTGATACATCCTGATTATGTGACCCTTGACAAATCACTTACTTCTTGACATCCCAAGCAACTCTCTAAGACTAAGTTGTACAACAGTTGCCAACCTGTCATGGGTAAAAGGGGTTTCTTTGTTCAGAATTCCCTGCACCCACTCTTCCCAATCTCTTTTTTATCGAGGAATCTTGAAGTCAGAAAATTCTTCCTAATATAGAACTGAAAATTTCCTTTATTATCAGCTTAAGTCCCTGCCTTTTGGCCTCTGAACATCTGTTCTTCAGCATCCATCTTTATAGCAGTATATATGTGGCCTCAGTGCTCATTTCATATTGCTTGATAACCCTAGTTCTTTTAGCTTTGCTTCTCAGATCTTACTTTTCAGCCTGAATGAGATGAGGCTCTTCTCTTGAATTTTAGACCAATAAAGTACATTATTGTTTTGTGCTTAAAATTTGTGTCTGAGAAAAATGAATTTTTACCTTCAAAAATGAAATCCTTTCTTTAAAAGCATTCAACAAAACTAAGCTTCTATCAATATACATTAGAAAAATTGGTCCACAATTTTCTTTCTCTATTTTGGTTCTTCGTGGTTTAGGCATCAGCACCATATTTGTGTCATAAAAAGAATTTGGTTGGATTCCTTCTTCTCCTGTTTTTCTAAATAATTTATATAGTATTGGAATTAATTGTTCTTTAAATGTTTGATAGAATTCACTTGTAAATCCATCTGGTCCTGGAGATTTTTTCCTAGGGAATTCATTGATGGTTTGTTCAATTTCTTTTTCTAAAATGAGGTTATTTAAGTATTTTATTTCCCCTTCTGTTAATCTGGGCAATTTATATTTTTGTAAATATTCATCCATTTCAATTAGATTGTCAGATTTATTGGCATATAGTTGGACAAAATAACTCCTAATTATTACTTTAATTTCTTCTTCATTGATGGTCAATTCACCCTTTTCATTTTTGATACTGGTAATTTGGTTTTCTTTATTTTTTATTTTTATTTTTATTTTTTGTCTTATACAAACAGCAATATTGTTTTAATAGCAACTTTGTACAACTAAGTAATTTTGACTATTTTTTCTTTTCTTTTTTTTATGTTTTTTTCTATATGCTTTTGAGTTGAAAATTTTTCTCCCTTTTCTTCCCCCCCCCCCCAAGACGGCGTACAATCTGATATAGGCTTTACATTTACATACCCATTAAACATATTTTCACATTAGTGAAGTTGTAAGTAAAAATTAAAACCAGTAGGAGGAACCATCAGAAAGATGAAACAAAACTCAACAGAAGGTAAAAATAAGTGATAGCGATTCGACTTCCATAGTTCTTTCTTTGGATGTGGACAGCATTTTCCATCCTGAGGCCTCTGGAGATGTCTTAGATCCTTGTAATGCTGAGAAGGGTTCAGTTTAACATTCTTAGTCATTGCATAACGTGGCTGTTATTGTGTACAAAGTCCTCTTGGTTCTGCTCACTTCACTCAGCATCAGACCATATAAGTCTTTCCAGGTTTTTCTGAAGTCAGCCTGTTCATCATTTCTTATAGCACAATAGTATTCCATTACATTCATATACCACAACTTGCTCAGCCATTCCCCAATTGATGGGCATCCTCTCAATTTCCAATTCTTTGCCACCACAAAAAGAGCTGCTATGAATATTTTTGTACATGTGGGTCCTTTTCCCATTTGTTTGATCTCTTTGGGATATAGCCCTAGAAGTGCTATGCTGGGTCAAAGGGTATGCACATTTTTGTAGCCCTTTGGCATAGTTCCAAATTGTTCTCCAAAATGGTTGGATCATTTCACAACTCCACCAACAATGTATTAGTGTTCCAATTTTCCCACATCCTCTCCAACATTTATCATTTTCCTCTTTTGTCATGTTGGCCAATCTGATAGGTGTGATGTGGTACCTCAGAGTTGTTTTGATTTGCATTTCTCTAATCAATAACGATTTAGAGCATTTTTTCATATGACTATAGATGGCTTTAATTTCTTCATCTGAGAACTGTCTGTTCATATCCTTTGACCATTTATCAATTGGGGAATGGCTTGTGTTCTTATAAATTTGTCTTAATTCTCTATATATTTTAGAAATGAGGCCTTTATCAGAGAGACTGGTTGTAAAAATTCTTTCCCAATTTTCTACCTTCCTTCTAATCTTAGTTGCATTGGCTTTGTTTGTGCAAAAACTTTTCAATTTAATGTAATCAAAATTATCCATTTTGCTTTTCATAATGTTCTCTATCTCCTGTTTGGTCATGAATTCTTCTGTTCTCCATAGATCTGATAGGTAAACTATTCCTTGTTCTCCCAGTTTACTTATGGTATCAGCCTTTATATCTAAGTCCTGAACCCATTTTGACTTTATTTTGGTATATGATGTGAGATTTGGGTCTATGCCTAGTTTCTGCCATACTCTTTTCCAGTTTTCCCAGCAGTTTTTTTCAAAGAGTGGGTTCTTATCCCAGAGGCTGGGGTCTTTGGGGGTTTTCTTTATTTTTTAAATCAAATTAACAAAGTTTTATATATTTTATTGTTTTTTTTAATAAAACCAGCTCTTGGTTTTGTTTTAGTTCAGTTTCATTTCAATTTTATTAATCTCTCCTTTGATCTTCAGAATTTCTAATTTGATGTTTGATTGGGGATTTTTAACTTGTTCTTTTTCTAGCTTTTTTGGTTGCATGCCCAATTCATTGATCTCCTCTTTCTCTATTTTATTCGTGTAAGTATTTAGAGATATAAAATTTCCTCTAAGTACTACTTTGGCTGTATCCCATAAATTTTTGTGTGTTGTCTCACTATTGTCATTCTCTTTGATGAAATTATTGATTGTTTCTATGATTTGTTGCTTGACCCACTCATTCTTTAGGATTAGATTATTTAGTTTCAAGCTAATTTTTAATCTGTCTTTCCATGGCTCTTTATTACACATTATTTTTATTGTATCATGATCTGAAAAGGATGCATTTAATATTTCTGCATTTTATTGTAAGGTTTTTATCCCCCAATATATGGTCAGTTTTTGTGTGGGTGCCATGTATCGCTGAGAAAAAGGTACATTCCTCTCTATTCCCGTTCACTTTTCTCCAGAGGTCTATCATATCTAACTTTTATAAGATTGTATTCATCTCCTTCTTTCTTGTCTATTTTGTGGTTAGATTTATCTAGTTCTAAGAGGGGGAGGTTAAGGTCCCCCACTAGTATAGTTTTGCTGTCTGTTTTTTCCTGTAACTCACTTAACTTCTCCTCAGAGAATTTGGATATATGTCTAGTACTGATATTATTTCATTGTCTATGGCAGGGCTTCTTAAACTTTTTCCACTCGTGAATTCTTCAGCACTTCTTAAACTATTGATTCTTGGTTGTAATCCAAGCTCCTTTACCTTCCAGAATATAATATTCTAAGCCCTCTGATCCTTGAATGTAGAATCTGGTAAGTCCTGTGTAATCCTGACTGTGGCTCTTTGATATTTAAATTGTTTCTTTCTG